ATTTAAACTACCACAAAGATGGGAAAAATTGGCCCCCACGGTTTTCATTGATTATCGTGTCTTAATGAACCGTACGATCTTCACTTGCCCCAAAAGTAGATGTGATATCGTAATTACCACATTCATTTCATTGTTTCGATTTTACATCTCGCAAGTATACGAGTCGTAATAAGTAATATAATGAATTTTTGAGTCCGAATTATCGTTCCTACGATAACTATACTTTAGCGCTTAATCTAAATTTTTTTTCTAACTACCATTCAGCAAAGCAAACAAAAATTTATGTGTTGTGATTTTTACCCTAAATACTTAAACTAATATGAATGCACACATAGATTGATTTCAAATTTAAATCATGAACAGATATGAAGGAAGAATAATTTTACTTATTAATGACCTTTAAGTCTAAAATCAAGATTTAAAATCTAATGTAGTGTTCGATCGAATTCTTCTATTATGTTCAATTCACCCCTCTCGAATTTTCATTGAGCCTGTTTAACTAATTTTATCTGTTATCTCTATGCGAATCAGCTTTAGTTAAACGAAACATTGGTTCTAAGAATTTTTACATGATCGCAATAATCAATATAGTTATCTCTACACCAATTTATCGAATTTTAATATATGGTCTAAATCTCACACTCACCTCTCGATTCGTAATCCTAAACTCACATCTCGATTCATAAAATCATCAAATTAGTGATGCATTAAACTCATAGCAAAATCAACACATGAAAGATAAAAGAATAAGAATCTTGAATAAAAGACATAAAGAGTCCTAATGAGGTTACACCGTTCACCCTAATATTAAATTTAGTTGCTCATGATAATCGAAGAAAAACACATGATTGTTACTAAATGCATCATCGGATTTTTTTTAAGACGGATATAGAAAAAAGAAGTTATTCTTGCACTAAGATCTTCTTCCTCGTATAATCAATGTTTCAGACCGTGAATCTCTTGATATTTTTCTCCCTCAAATTGCACTTTTCAATCAAAGTGTGAAATCCCCTAAAAAATGTCCAAACTTGTGTATGTAGTTGCCTTCCACATTGGTGTTGAATGCAGGGTTTGTATGGATTTCAAATGGGCCAAGTCGTTCCCTAAATACAATTAATGACGACATCATGATGCTACCTCCCTGTTTCTCCACTCTCTTGTGTGGTGCCACAATGCCATACCTCTATCATGGTGGTGTGTGGCGCCACTCGTCCATTCTCTTCATGTTTTGACTCTTTTCCCCTTTCGTCCGTCTTTTCTTCCCAGTCCACGCCAATAACTTTATTTAATGAATTTTTCCGTGTCTTTCACCATCTCAACACTTCTACAAAACAACACTAATGAACATATTAAGAACGTTCACTACTCGTAAAATTTAGCTAACAATCAATTTGAAAATGGAATAAAACTTGTGAGTAAATCAAGCTCGTCGAGTGCCCCCAAACTTAACAGTTTGCTAATCCTTGAACAAACATAAGAAAATGAAATTAACTAAGGATGCAGACAAAGATTTAGCTGGATAGCTCGTCTTTTGGCTCAATATTGAAAAATTATGTCATATTCATGAACGGTTTCAAAATCGCAATGCAGGAGTTAATCTTCCACATATTCAATGCAAAACCGGGGGAATGTGTGTGTGTGAAATCGTGTAACACCGTACATTCACAAGTTGGTTCATTTGCCAACCCACATGGTCATTTATCTCATTTCTTTGCTCATTAGATTCACACACCCTCGAACTTGTTTTCTTTTATTCTCTCACCATAGTGTAATTCTAAAGTTTTGCTTATCAAGTTTCTTATACCACTTTGATTTGGTTTAGCCCAGCCGTTGACGTCAACAATTCATTTATGTGATGATTCTCCCAAGTTATGAGCTCTTCAACAATCTAGTTTGTACTATGTGATTGAAAAATCATAAAATTTTCTTCCAAATTATCACATTAAGCTTCTGTTTGGAGTAGCTAAAAATCATATTTTTGTTAAATTTTGATAAAAATTGATAAAATATAGGTTGAAAAATTGATAGAGTAGTGGATCTATTATAGACAACAAAGAAGATACTGGATTTCTTTGATACCGATTTGTTGTAATAATGGATAAGAAAATAAAATATGACACAATATGAAGTAATTGATCACAATAACTTAAAAACAAAATAATTTGCAGAAGAATTGAGAATTTATTATAATATGGAGAAAGCATAAAAGGATTTTGTCTTTAAAACTTTGTCCAACTTAATCTAAAATACAACGAAGAGATCTATATAGATATATATATATATATATATATATATATATATATATATATATATATATATATATGTATGTATGTATGTATGTATGTATGTATGTATGTATGTATAAGGGCCTGGGTCAAACGAGCCGCCGCCAGCTCTGTATACAAAATTTTGATCACATCGCTCAAGCGATAGACTAGTGGCCAGCTAGTGGAAAAGAGACGAAAATTTCTCCCCGATCTATATCTTGACCTCTTCAAGTTCAACACAAATTTCAAACTCTCAATTAAGTTTTCAAATAGAACTTCAACTAGAACTTGTCAAATAGACTTCAAATAGAATTCCAAAATAGCATTCCAAATAGTATTTTCCTATATTCAACTTTAATTAGAATTCTCAACTATCTTTCAAATAGAATTCGGGTCACGCCTTAATTCTAGCAAATGCCACATTGACACAAGTTTCAATACAATGAAAAAAACTTCAAAGATTCTCCACCTAGATACAAAATTTTGCTGCAAGGAATAAAATTCAACTTTTTAATGAAAAACACAAACGAGATTCTTCATCAAAATTTCCAACTAGAAATATTTACCAAAAGTCTGCCAACCAAGGCAAAACTCAATAGTTGAGTGTTAACAAAATTTCAAGAAATGCTTTGAACACAAAAGTTGCTCAAATCTCGAGCAACAAAATCAAACCTGATTAATAATTACCAAACAAGACTAAAACAAGGCTTGTAACATATTTATCACATCTAAATGCATCAATAGAATTGGCCAGAATCAACACCCTTAATTGCATTCAAACCATAATCTGCTAAATTAGCAACATTGTACCTTGTAGCGGCTTAAAATAAGAAATGCGTATGTTACTAGCAATTGAATACAATGGCACTGACGATAATGATGGAAAAGTGGCATTACCCAAAACTTCTAAACTCAACTGTAATATATTCTTCAAAGAGGACTCCAACGGTATGTAATTCAACTCTAATCTCTCTTGAGTCCTTAAAATATGCTGATTAATCAAAGATTTTGTATAACACTACAAGACATATAACAAAACATGGGCTACTTTATAAATCTCCAGGAATAAACCTTCACTAGTGTACTTGTACCCTTTTAAATCAAGAGTACCCAAGGAGATAAGATTTTCTTCAAATCTGAAATGTGATGCATTGATCAAGTGTTCTAACCGTCTCATCAAATATCTTTATTTTGACCCCACCACTACCAGCTATCCTACATGGTGTTTTATTTCACATTATCACAATACCTTTCAAAATTGTTTCATATATTGAAAATGAATCTCGATTGGAACACATATGAAAAGTTCAAACTGTATGACGAATTCAATTCTCGTCAGTTTTGGAATCGTAGTCAAAAATAAGAAAAAGTTCTCTATTATCATGAGAAATTTCTACAACAATAGCTTCACTTTAAGTATCTAATTGCTTTCTTTTCTATAAAGTTGCAACCAAAGTTTTCTCCTTTTGTAACTTATAGCAACCCTTAAAAAACTGTCCGAATTCTTGCAATAAATTTTGAAGTTTAAGCATCATAGGCTTTTTCAATTTTAGGTGGTACGAGGAAGCAATAAATGCTTAAATATATTCAACATATTATCTTTCACAAGATTTAATTTAATTGTTGAAGGAAGATAAATCATTTCTAACGTCTAAACTCAATAGTCAAAATTGATTTTACAAATTACATAGTAAAAACGAGTTCTCGTCAAACTAAGATAATTATTTGAACTTAATTACATTAAAATCAGTAGGCACCAATGTCCATAAATTCAATCTCTACGTACACATCTTCCAATCAATTCATGTTAAAACTTGATTAGATAGATATTAATTACAAAATATCAAACAACCGCGACAACCTAAATTATAAAGTACTGATAACATGAATGGCTATTTTTGTCCAAAAATTTAACATTGTTTGAGCCCCGTTTTGGGTTAGTAGTATTGGAATAGTAATTTTTTAGAGAACGCATTATTAGAAAATAAGAAAGAAATTCGAATTTATGTATAAAATTATTTTATTATGAGAATGTATACTTGAAAACGAATTTTTGAAAATAAATTTTGGAAAATCGTGGCTCAAACATTGGCGCATTGGCACAGAATAGTGCAGAGTACTGGTGGGAACTACTGTTGTTTCGAGAATTGTCGGATTTTCTTTTTTCCCTTTTTTTTGGGGGTGGGGGGTGTTGGGGGGGGGGTTTAGTTTTCTCACAAGTAGCATAGTATAATTAAATGCAATTTTGTAAAGTAAATTTTTTATTTTTATTTTTATGAATTAGTGTAAAATTTAAGAACCAACAAAAATAATATTCAAATTTATGAGTTCAACAAAAATATTTAACGTGCCAATTTCTTCATTTGGTTGAATTATTTCTTGTAGTGTAACAAAAATAATTTCGACAAAACGTCCCTTGTAAATTTGCAAACTGTAGAAGCCATTTTTCTTTGTCGATGTTGATAACAAATGTTTAAGTTATTAACACGCTCACTAATGCTTTTGTTGATCCATGTTCCAATTTTGTTAAGTCGATATAAATTATTTTATTTATGTTAACGAACCTTAATTAGGCTGCTGATGAATCTTAGAAGACTAGCAAATTTATAAAAAGGTAGAATGACTAATTATATTGATATGTATTTGTGCTGTAATTATTCGTAATTTTGCAGTTTATCACACTGAGTTTTTTTGGCTCCATCACTAGGAAAAATGAAAAATGAAAAATGATAATGAGCTCGAAAGAATAAGATACTTATTTTGAAATAAATAGATTATATGAGAAGGGTTTTTGATATCACACATAGACACAAAATCCAAAGAAGAAATTGTGTCAAAATTGTATACTCACTTATGGCCTTTTTGTCTAAACCATGCCTAATCACCTGTGGTAAAAACAACCACACGCCCGTGACTCCTACAAATGCCACCGTCATCGGCCCCGAAACCAACCTGTGCAACCGCCAACGGCCGCCCAATGCCTTTTTCACGGCCATCTCGAGGGCCACACAAATCCCATGAAGAACAAAGAACCTCGTCACCTCCCATGTGGGATATGCACCTGATAAGTAATAATAAATCACCTCATGCATGAGACCAGACACCAAGAATGTGGCCATGGTGGCCGAAGGCCGCGCCCAATTGCTGCCTAAAATACGTGTAGAAATACTGTGTACAGGTTGATATACGGCAGTGCGTAGAATACTGCTGACGGTGAGGTTCCATCTACGGCCCCAAAAGTCTTGCAGTGATGTGGCCAAATATGGCTCGTTGAACTGTGGCTTCAGATCCAGTCCAAGAATGGCCCTCACCGGAACTGCGGTAATGGCTAAAATCACCTCGAGAGCAAGATAAAGATGGCAACAATACAGAGTAAATAATATATACGGATGCACATTCTCCATGTACTCGTATATACGAGTAAATATAGCCAGAAGAGCAACCTTAACAGCAGACGCAACTGGTTGATGATAGACTTTGGCATTTGATTTGCAAGATGAGTTGTGCTTGGTTTCGACGGGAAGGAGCGCTATGGAGATGAAATGGAAGAGGGACAAAGGCGGCGTCGCGTATAGAGGGCCTTGATCGAAGGAGAAGAGAAGGAGCTTGAAGTTTCCAAGCCAAACAAGGTATAAAATAGTAGCAGCACCAATGTGGATGGAGGTGAGATGGAGCGGGAGGGTGGTGAACAGATAGATGACGGGGAGGAGAGAGAATAACCTGGTGGCGCCACCACGTAGGCGGACCGAGATGCAGTAGCAGTAAATCATAGATAAAATTGCAGTGAACCACACCTTGATGAAGCTTTGGATTTCAGGATCCATGCTGAATATTGTATTCAAGCACATACTGAAATGCATGTAGTTAATTAATAGTACTACTAATTCAAACTGTCGAAGCAGCAAAATTCATTGCTTCACATTTATTTCATATCAACCATCAACTAACTACTGAGAAACAGGTAGCCAAGAATGAATGATTAAGAAAATGACTTGTCTACTTCAACAGTTGATACAAAGCTGGAAAAGTGGATATGTGATTACAGGTTACCTGTGTGCTAACTACTTATGTTAGTGAACAAAAGAACGAATTATGCTTCTTTTACACTTATGGTTGACACTATCTTTTACATTCTGTCTATTGTGGCGAAAATTTAGCTACTGATTGGGAAAAGTATAGTTAAAATCAATGTATGAACCAACCATATATTTTATGGAATTTACAATTTTCATTAACTTTTCAACCACACATTTTATTTGGTCATCTTTGACCTCCTCGTCCCATTTTTTTTTTTAAATCAAAACTCATTTTTAATCAGACATTCTCCAAAAATTACTATTAGAAAAATCCAATTTTCTCTGAAAATGGGGCCCAAAAAGTATCATACTTTTAATAAAGCCCCTGTTTGGTATAGAAAAAAATCAAATTTTTAGCTGATTTGATAAAAATTTAAAGAATGTGTAGTTGAAAAATTATGGATCCATGAAATGCATGATCGATGATAGATATGGAGGAGGCAGTACTGGGCTGTAGTCTAGTGCTGCGCGCCCATCTGTCATCATTCTCTCGTACAGTTGCCGACATCCACCCATCATTGGCATCCAAATAACTTCATCAAATGAAAGAATCTATGGAGGTCGCCGACAACTTCTTCAGCGGCAAATTGATCGTCGCTCAGGGACAACTGAGCATCGTCGGCTCAGATAGTAGAGACAGAGGGAGAAACAAAGTAACCATTGGAGAATATTAACTAATCATTGTCGGCAACTTAACAGTATGGATGTAATTTATATCTATATTTCAAAATTAGAAATTGAAAAATAACCCCTTGTGTAATTTACAGGATACCCAACTAACAAATAATTTCAATTCTTACTAATGCATCTACTTAATTGAATTTGTGACCAATTCGAAAAACAGAGGTCGAAGATATCAATGGCATGTGAGCAAATCTCCTGAATTTGTGATCTGTGACATATACACTTTGACATATGACCCATTACCTGTGACTTGTGACCCTATGGACATTGAACTATGACCAATTTTAATTGATCTGTGATATGTGGATATTGGTATGTGACCAATTTTAATTGAACCGTGACCTACTCATAATGATCTGTGGATATTGATATGTGGTCTACACATGGTGACCATTAATCTATGACCTATACAATATAACACGTAACTTGTGGTCTGTGATTTGCAACATTCAAACATGATTTGTGACTTGTGAATATTTATATGTGACCAATGCACAATAAACTGTGGTCTAGTACATGTGACTTGTGACCTATCATCACTACCGACACCACCAACAAATATCAAAACAGTATTTGACATACCATATATGAACATGTGACCACCACCAATGCCATAAGTACCGCCATCTCAAAAACCACTACCACAAAACCACTTTAAGAACTACCACAACACCATCACAAAAACACCTTAAAGACTACCACAAAACCACCTTAAAAACCATCACAAAATCGTTGCAAAATCACCACAAAATTACCAAAAACCACCACATAAAGTGAGACAAAACCATCACAAAAATAACCAAAAATCAACACACAAATTGCCGCAAACCACCTCAAAATCATTGTAGTGGCAATTTATGCCCTAATCGTAAAATTGGAAAAGTAGGATCTTAGAAGTTGAATTCTACTTTCTACTTGTAGAGAGAGTAGAAGAGAAATAGTAGAAAGAGGGACTGTAAAGCCAAAATGGTAAAGAGAGAACATAGAGATATATTAATAGGGAGAAATGAGAGTGGGGGATAAGTTAGAGAGAGATGAAATTGGGATTAAATCAGGCCCTGAGTGAGTTAGAAGATGGTGTATAATTTAATTTTATATTAATATTAAAATATAGAATTACCACTTGATTTTTGAATAAACAAACCCTCAACTTGTTTTTTGAATTGTAATCTTTAAAACATCGTGCTAGTATAATTTCCACTTTACTTTTCCCTGTACGTCTATTTGGCCCTTTTTTGGTGGGAAATCTAATCAGATATTTAATATATTTTGATAAAAGTTGATGAAATGTGTATTTAAAAAGTTGTGGGTCCTATAAAATGTGTGGTTAAAATTACTCGATGACTTTGATTTAAATTAAAATGTAGATTTTAATTTTCATCAAACATGGGCTAGAATTGCAAATCTGTAGTGAAATTGAAATTCAAAATCCCCAAATGTATGGAACCCTAAAACTCTAGCCATATTGAAGTCGGTGACCACTTGTTTGCCACCATAAACCGGAGTTGATGAGCACCTTTGACTTTAAGCCTTTAATCAGTATGCAACATGTGCAACTTTAAATACTTTTATCAATTTTTGGGAATGCACTTTGCTGTGATCTATAAATGCCTAAATTTATTGATGGATTTGTATATGAATTATGTGATTGGTTTGGCTTCATAGATAAAAATTGAAACTTTCCATGTGCTTTCTTTTTTTTTTCTATTCTCTAATGTAGCAATATAATTTTAATGCATTCTTCACGTTCCTTTCAATGTGTTGAAGGTTGAAAAAGTGGGCAAAGGTTCATATGGAGGTATACATGAGGTTTTCACTCTTTTGGTAAATTTTATTACTACGTAGCTAGCTTAAACTTGAGCTCTTTTTCTTTTTCTTTTCAATTGTTGTATTTATTTTTATATTCTAACCTGGTATCTCTTCTGACTTTCTCTAGCGTTCTTGAATTTGTGCATAAAATCTTTGGCATCTTTTGTTGTTGCTCCTATTTGAGGCTCGCTTGCTCCAATTTCACATTTAATTTGATTCCGCCATAAACTATGCACCTCACGTACTTCGCTTGGCTTTTAGCACCTTAAATTGCATTTTATATTTGAATTTAGGCTGGTTAAGGGTTCGTTGAATTTGTTGTTAGAATTTTGACTGGTTATGATATTACTGAGCTCTTGTTTGAGCTCCATTTTTATTCTAAGAATGTATTTTAGAATAGTGGACTGATAAAGCGTGTGTGGTTAGAAGATAAGGAAAAAATTTGGGTTTACGTGTAATATATCTTTATTGAAAAATGTATGGTTAAAAAAAGAGAGAGAAAACAATGTATTTTGAAAATAATGAGAATCAAACAAGGGTTGAATTGTTAGATAAGCAGTTGGATTGTTGTTGGATTATTTTTGGATTATTGGGCGATTGAAATGTTTTTGTTATTATGCATTTAGTACATCATCTTAGGTTTTACATCTATTTAACAAATAAAGCTAAGAAGATCTAGTAGAACATTTTATAGTGATATCTAGATTTATACTTGCTTGAATAACTAGCCCACTTTGTCACGAGTATCATGAGCTTAACTTCTAATGACTTTTGGCTTGAATTCGTGGAAAACTTTTAATTTTCAGCCCACCATAATGACTTTTTCTGGCTCCATCCCTGTTTATAGTTATAATTAGTTGTTGACTTTTACTTAAAATCATAATCCATTTTTTAAACTGAACCAAATTGGGGCAAAATCTACTAAAAGTATGAATTTTAGCAAAATCAAACACGTATATGCATTTGCAACTGTGAATACTATTATATATTCTAATTTCTGAAAAGTCAATTTTTGCAAACATTGTATTTCGGATTATTATTCGACAATTCCTCTTTTTTTTTTTTTATTGCTGACACACGTTAATTGAAAATGAGTTTGAGAAAAAAAAATGAATTTTTAGAGAATAAGGGTCAAACAGGAATTTGGTAGAGATTAAAACCAGATTGTTAGTAGATTTTGTGTGGTTAAAAAGTAGTGGATCTCATGATATGTTTTGTTAAAGTTAATTGTTGACTTTAACTTGAAATTTGAATTCAAACCTAACGGTGGATTAATGACATGTTTAGAATATATTTGACAATTACTTCAATATGTTTGTATTCTTGTTTAGATATACATGGCATCTTAGGCATCCATTCTTCAAGACTTTGTACCAGTTCCATACGACCGTAGGAGATCCGAGAGAAACAGTAGAGTTGAGTTTATGGGCTACTGGAAAAAACTGGGCTTTAAAGTCCAAATATGTAACATGCTTTGAAATAGGAGAGACGAAGACAATATGTTAGGAATCTTCAATTTAATACGACAATGAGAGGCTTGATGCAATTGAACTCAAGCACAATTAATGTTCTAGGTTAACCAGTTGTTAGGTGTATCTGTCTATTTAGATATGTACTAAGTCACAATACACATAAATTATATGAATATGACATCAATATCATCAAACCAAAATGAAAGAATTTTTGAGTTTGAAGTATAGGAAAGTTCAGTTATCGAAAGTTCGATTTTTTTTTTAATTTACTTATCAGACTTGAAATTGGTTTTATTATATTACCTATGAAGAGCATTTTTAAGCAAAACACTATCAAAGTTCGTCGTATTTAGGCCTACAACTGGATTCCATGGGGGTTTAGATTCTTCAAACCTGTTTTATTAGTTATTAAAATTATACAAGTGGGAGGGGAGGAATTTGAGAACCTTGCCTCCAGAGCTGGAATCGAGAAGTAGTGCACTATAATTATTTATTTATAACCAGCATAAGTACAGTAATCTATTGAAATCCATCAAACACTAATGGAATGTGTGATTAAAAGGTTATGAATAATTGAACTTTTCTATGAATGACGCTACTATGAGGCTGAGGTAGGGATATCAACGAGTCGAGTCGAGTCGAGCCGGCTTGCGAGCTGAAATTTTAGGCTCGGGTTCGACTCAAGTAAAATGATCAAACTTTGTAGGTTCGGCCAAAAAAATAAGGTTCAACCTGAGCCGGGCAGGCTCGATTTTGGTGTTTTTTTTTTCTTTTTTTTTTCCCTTCTATTTTATATAGAAAGAGGTTGCTGCCTTAATTAAAATGGTAGCAACCATGTGCCTTAATATTAATTAAGGCAGCAAGCCACCAGCTGCCTATTTTAGGTTGATGTCATTAAAATAAATTTTTTTTTTTTTTTAAATATAGGCTTGTGAGCCTGAGCTGGCAAGCCACATGGGCTTTGCCCGACACCTCAAAATGGGGCTCGGCTCGAGCCTTGGCTTGGTTCTTCTGAGCCTCGAGTTGGGTGGGCTTGAGTTTTTTTGA